TTATCCCCAAAAAGGAAACCCTAGGGCATGCTTTTCCCCAAAACCCCGCTACCTTCCCCTCTTCCAAACATTTATTAAAAAATTTTGCCCAACCCCCCAAAACTATATCCCCCCCTGTTTTTAAACTTTTTCTATCTTTACCCACAATCCCACCCTCCCCTTCCCCCCTTTCATTTTCCCTTCTGCCCCCCGGAACTTCCCCCACACTCACAACGGGGCTTTCCCCAACCCCTAAAAGATTTTTTATTCCTCCTTCCCCTATACACAAAAATCACAGTTTTCCCTTTTTTCATCAACATTTAACAATTCCTCAAAATATTCCCCCCCATTTTTCCCAAATACCCCCAAAAATTCTTTTAAATTTAACTCTCCTCCCCCTTTTTTTTTTAACTGACAAATCCATCTTTTTCTCTAGGCTTTCTTAACTTTTTAAATCTCCCCCAAAAAATTTTTTCTTTTTTTCAACAAAATTTGTTGATAACATCTTACCCATTTTCTCTCATTTTCTCTCTTTTACATTGCTTCACCACTCCTTAACCTCTCTTTTTTTCTCCTATACCCCCCTTCCCCCCCCTTTTTTCATCACTTCTACTTTGTAAAAACTTCCCCATATGCTAACTTTTTCCCCCTTAAATACCTCTTTTCATCATCAAACCCCCAAACGCTCCTCTTTTCCCCCTGCACCCCCTTTCCCCGTAACCACAAACTTTTTGCTGAACACTCTAAACTACATTTTTTTAAAACCCACCCCATACCTCTTCGACCCCCTTGCCTATGCCTCATTGCCCCTCTATCCCCCAATAGCTGTTTTTATCTTACCCTAACTGCCTCCTCTTTTTTGGGGTTTTTAAAACCCTTTAACCCCTCTCTTCCCGTTTCCCTTTTATTCCCTTGTATCCCACTTCCTTTTTCTCTCAGTGTAGCACAAAATAAAAAGTGGGTCTGGAAAATTTTGTGGCCCCCCTTTTTAAAAAAAATGTCATCCCGAAGTGTACCAAACAGTCTTTTTTTCTACCAATCATAACCAACAAAAATAAAATGTCATTTTGCCCTACAAACATATCTTGATACCCTTTTTTATCCTCTTTTTCTTAAAATATGTATTTCCTATAACTAAACCCCTTTCTATACAAAGTTAATCAAAGGGCTTTCCCCTTATCATTTTTCACCGGGCCCCCAAAATTACCTACCACACCCTCTCTAAAAGTTTTTCCTCTTTTGCATTCAGGTCCCCCACCACAATTACTCTTCCCCTTGGTTCAAAGGCTCCAAAACATTCACTTAACATCTCCCAAAATCCTCTCTCTCCTTTTGCAAATTTCCCCTCTTCTCCAGGGGCATACACCTTATTAAGACCAAATTCTCGCATCCAACCTTTACTTTTAAACCAAAATTTAAATTTTTGAATTTAACATTCATATTCTCTTTTCTCCTTCCATAACTGATCATTTTTAAAATTTCTGCTCCCCTTCCTTTTCTCTAACTCTCTTTAGTTTTCTCCAGATTTAATTTCCCCTTTTTTTTACCCCCACTGAAACTTTTCCTACCCCCTTCAGCTTTGTTTCCTTTTGGGCCAGGGCACCAACTTCTTTTCATTCATAACATCAGCAATCATCTGTTTTTTGTCATCCGCACTACATCCCCCGCACATTTAAGCAAACCCGTTTTATAAAATTTTTCTTCTTCTCTTTTTTTGTAAATGTCTACAGGGGGAAGGGGGGTTTCTAGCCATATGGAGACAAAAAAAAATTTTCTATGGAGGCAAAGAAGGGGAAAGTATGAAAATATAGTGGTACCCAAAACTCTTATATGGGGGTGAAGCCTTTTGGTTTTAAAAGCAGCAGCGAGGAGACAGTTGGGGGCAGTGGGATCCCTGTCTAAGGGCAATGGGGGTGTTAAAAAATTAGCAGAAAATTCGGGGTTTTGGAAAATTTGAAGGTGGGGAGTTTAAAAAAAGTTTTTAGTAGAGGGCTGAAGAAGGGTTGTTGAGGGGGGTTTGGTCATTTAGAAGAAGGGGGTCAAAGTTTGAATGCATGGAGGGGTGTAAAATCTTAGAAAGTAGGGGAAGAAAGGCAGGGTAGGGGTTGTCCTCCCAAAAAAGGGTGGAGGGAGGGGGGGAAAGGTTTTTTGGGCGGGGGTTGGGACTTCCACAAGCATGCGTAGCATGTTTTGATAGGAGTGAATGGAGACGATGGGATTTGGGGCCTATACTGTTGGAGTTTTGGGGGAAAAGGGAAATTTTTTGTGTTGGGATTCAGGGAAAAACCCGGGTTTTTTTTAATAGTGGGGGGTTTGGGCCCGGAAAGGGAAGTTTCAATGTCTGCATTTTAAAAGGGGGGGGGGGGGGGGGGGGGGGGCTTGGGATATTGGCAGTTTTGGGGGGATATGTTGTGTATCTTTTATACTTTTATTGCTTTTTAAATGTTTATTCTGAGCACCTCCGGGAAAAACAGCGATTTTGTGTGGGTGAAAGGGGTTGAATGATGATGAAAGTATTTTCCCTTTTTAGGATTTTCTTTTTTTTGGGTTTACCCTCCTCGGGGGAGAAGCCGACTTGTTAAAAAAAAAAAAATGGTATATAAAAATTGGGGTTTCATAACACTGCTAGTGGTGAGTGGGTGTAAACTGCATTTTATTCTAACTCAGGCCAGCATCACTTGGGAATTTTTTTAGCGCATGTTCAGAAGAGATAAAATATCTCCTTCCTGTTATTTTTTTTTCTGTGATTTTCCCATGCCTTGCACAGCACTGGTGGATTTTTTCAGTCATGTACAGCTCTCTTAGTCTATAGAGGAGATTTTGTCTTGTTTTAGTCAGGCACTTGACATATATACCAGTTTTCATAGATCCAAAATGTTCTTAACAGGTCATTTCTCTGTGAGCTACAATTTGAACTTCAGTATCACTGATTTTTTTCCAGTTTGATAACCCATCACTTTACACTCCTATATTTCATCACTAGGTATGATAAGATGAAATTGGTCTTGAATAAGTTGTAAGGTGGTTTGTTTACATTTTCCTGGGTTATAGTTGCTGGGAGAAGATTGTTATTTACTACAACTGTATCAGATAGTTGTTGGTTGATATGGTCTTGGAAGTTGTTAATAACATCAGTAAGCTGTGGTCCATTCTTGCTCTTTCTTCCTTGATGTTGGTAGTATTTAGTTGGGTAACTTGATCTTTTAGGAGGCTAATGATACCCTCAGTCCCGGGTGTGAGTGTTAATTAGTTGTTCCAGTGCATTCAGCTTGTATTCCAGAGTTGTGATCTTCCCGAGGTACTGCGTGTTGGATGTTTGCAGTTCCTTTAAATTTTTTGGTTTAACATGTCATTGGAGGTTTTAAGTTCTTGCATTTCCCGGGTTAACAAGTCGATTTTTTTTACTGTGATCTTGATGAATTTGGCTAATACTGGGTCTTTTATCTTCAAATCATTGAATCCATGGAAGGAGCTGTCTTCATTGTTTGTGGTAGTAGCCATGTTTGTTGTTGTCTGGCGAGTATTGTGGGGAGGGCAGTGGGTGGTAAGGATTGCATCCTTCTGGCTGGGAGTAGAAGTTTTACTTGTAGTAATGCTTCCCTCATCTGTGTTGCTGCGAGTCCTGGTTGGTTACTGGATCTTTTTTTTTGTTGTCCTGACCCCTGGCCACTGACAGTGGCTTCAGATGGTTTGTTGAAAATGGGTAATGGGCAGATGTTGAGACATTTCACTTAACCTGGCTGTGGGGTAGGTGGTGGTGTGACAAGTCTTCTTGGTAATGTAGTGTATATTTGGGCGAGTTCTGCAGCTGATTTGTATCATTCTGGGTCTCCATGTATGTTAGTGTTATGCGAGTCTATGTTAGGCCATCACAGGGTTGTTAGGAACCTCCAGTGGATGTAAAACAGAGGAGCAAAGACCTTGCTGCTGCCGCTTGCCGTTTGCCCTGGTTGGCTCATCTGTGTTTTCAATTTCTTGCTGTGGCTTGAGTACTTATTTCCCCATCTTTCAAACGGCCAATCCCTGTCTATCCTATCAATTCCTCTGAGTATTTTGTGTGCTGTTATCATGTCTCCCTTGGCTCTTCTGTTCTTCAATGCTGTTACATTCAATTCCACTGGCCTCTCCTCGAAGTGCAGAAGAATCCTTCCTCTGTAAGGCATACGTGTCATAAGAGGTGAATTAAATGCCGAAAGCAAGGGGCTAGTAATCCTTTCTAATGTATATATTACTAAATGTATGAGAAAAACTTCATGAAAGCTTTTCTTTGGCTACAGATTCTTAAGGGAAACATACACAGGAACATAGAGCGGGGTTATAGTATGATGAGTAGACAACCTACTTAATGGAAAGTGAAACATTATCACCTGCAGGTTTATTATCTATTCTGCACAAGTGCAGAATAGAAAGGTTTTTCTCTACCATGAAAACAAGGCAACACAGAAATAAAGAAACCTACATTAATTAGACCAGTTGTGATAGACAAAATTGCTAATATAATTTAATATATAATCAAAAGTTTATTAAGTTTTTAATGTACACTCAAAAAAATAACTTACTTAACTTTTGTGTCTAACTCTGAAACTACAAGGCACGCTTCTGCAAGCTCTTTTGTGGGAGCAAAACGTCTTGCATTAGGACCATGAAATGCTTGGTGAAAATCATCCAAAATCTGTTTTTCTAAGTCTCCTCTAATTTGTTCCACCTGTAGGAAAATTCAGAAACCACATCAACACAAAACAAAACTAATTTAATGATGCGATCTGAAATGTTTGCATCCAAACCTTTCAACAGTTCATCATTTAATGCACCATAAAAAGAACAAGAGGGTGAGTCTCATGCAGAAAATTCATGTGATTTTTTTATTTAAAATATTGAAACTAAAGAAAAGTTTCTGGGTGTCTGGTAAATTTATTAAAAACTATTTTAATAAAAATAGTGCAGCTAGTTCGTATTTTAATTTCTATCTGTAAGTTCCACTAGGGTTACCACTCGCTTGCCTTACTCCATCAAAAATATGGCTATATTTCTGTAAAGAGATCAGATGACACCAGTACTAAAGTAAATTTCACATGAAAGCTGAGCAATTCCATTGAATGTGTTTGACAAAACTGTATACTAGTTGGTTTTGATTTAGAATTCTGAATTCCACTGAGCATGTGTTTAACAAAACTGTATAGTTAGTTTTGGTTTAGAATTTTGACACATTTTATTCAAGACATATAAACACAAGTAATTTTTGTAGTGGGAGGCACTGGCTCAGTTTCCACTTGGAAACTTGCACATATGTTTGGGCAATATTTTCAATATCTGCTGGTAGCAGGTTGAAGAGTCTTGGCTCATGAATGTTGACAGTGGCCTCTTAACCCCTTCAGGGTCCAGACCCCCAATCTGAAACTTGTCCATACCATCCAAAAATTCAAAAAAACAAAAATTTATTTTTTCTTATGAAATGGTAATGAATCTTTTCCTGAAGGTAATAAAACAAAAAATACAAAATTTGATGGAAAACTGACAAAATTATACTATCCCAAATTTTGCTGTGTCAGCAATATTCATGCATTGGCAGTTTTGCCCACTTTAAGTCCTATTTTAGGCCAATTACATTGTTCCAGTTGACCAAATTATTAGCTAGTTTGCTAGTATACCTTCCATTGTATCAACTGAGCACAAGAAACTGCCCAATCAACTATTTCAACTACCCAATAAAGTGATCAGAAATTGGTAATTTGGCCAATTTTACACAAATTTCAAAATATTTCAATTTTAGAACAGGGTCCAGAATAAACAATGCAGGCCTTCCTGGCACTAAAATAACATTTCCTCTGTTCATTAGTTATGTTTTAATAAATTGTATAAATAATATCACTGCATTCCTGAATGCATATTAGACCCACCAGTTGATGTGTAATGGACACGTGATTTGATTTGTTTACTCTTGAACACTGGCAAAAATTGAGTATTTCCAATACTTTGAACTCACTTTCAAGCTATTTTCAGCCCTAAATATAATCAAAATCATCTCTATTTCTGTAATATTTTCCATAAAAACCATACAAAAATACACCACAAAGTTGCTGTCCTAAACCAAAAACATGGTGGCAGTTTTTTTCCCATTATGCACTGCATGCTGCAGGATTTTTTTATATGGTGCACACTTACCACACAAACTCATTCTCTCATATCCAGGCCCAAATTTACTGCTCACAGCTTATCTGAGTGAGTTGAGCTTATGGGGTAGAACCACATCACTGACACTGGCCTTAAAGTTGTAGGAATACAGAACGGACTCTGAAAGGGTTAATGTACTCACAGAAACCCTATTTTTCAATGGATTTATTTAAGACTTCTGCCATATCTCACTCCAATGAGTTGTTATTGGCCCTCCAATATCTTCCAGGAGTACATTATCAGGTGTTTCTGACCTCTTTGCTCCAGAGAGCGAATTCCAGATATTTTGAGGCATTCCTAGTAATTTAAAATGCTTTACTGATACCAGGCAAGCAGTAAATAATCTCTGAACATTTTCTAGCTTTGATATCTCTACTGCCTTGATCAGAGATGTGAATACAGTACGTATTATGCCAGATGTGACAAGTGATGTGAATACCAGTAGGTTCAGCATTTCTCATTTTGAAAAGCTCTCATTATCTACAGTGTCATTTTTCTGGCCCCTGCATCATTTACTCTATTATGATCTCTTAATGACATATTATCTTATATTATTATCCCTAAATCTTTTACCTGTTTCTTACGTTATACATGATAAGCTGCCTTCATTCTGTATTTTCCAACTGTTTTGAATTCTTCATTCTCTCTACATCTAAGCAACTGAAATATGTCACCACTGAACATTTACATTTTCATCTGCCTATTTTAAGACTTAGTTGATACCTGATTGTGATTTTTCTCCAACATCCACTGAGAGTGATTTTCATACTTAACCCTTTCAGGGTCCAAGGCCCAAATCTGGAGTCACGCACCAGTGTCCAAGAATTTTCAAAAAAAAAAAATTTGTTATTTTTTCTTATGAAATCGTAGAGAATCTTTTTGTGAAGGTAATAAAACAAAAAGTACGAAATTTGGTGGAAAATTGACGAAATTATGCTCTCGCGAATTTTGATGTCTCAGCGAAAATTACGAATCGGCGATTTTGCCGACTTTGACTCCCATTTTAGGCCAATTACATTATTCCAATCAACCAAATTCTTAGCTATTTCACTAGTATTATTTCTATTTCTATCGATTGAGCACAAGAAATCCCCAAGTCAACGTTTCAACTACAAAATAAAGTGATCGGAAATTGTTAATTTCCCAATTTAACACAAAGTTAAAAAAATATTCCAATTTAAAAATAGGGTCCAGAATGAACAATGTAGGCATTCCTGGCACTAAACTAACATTTCCTTTTTCTTATTTTTTTTTTGAGGCTTTACAAATAAATTCCATTTTGATTTTTTTTTCACAAAATATTTTATCAAAAACCAAAAAATAGAAATTTACTGTTTTCAATATTGTAATAATTGTTAAATATCATCACCATATTTTGAAGTAAAATTAGACCCACCATGACGTGATTCGTGTGGGGGAGGTCGTTTGTTTACCTTGAATACGGCAAAAATTTAACTTTTTTGTACTTTGAGTAATTTTCAAGCCATTTCCAGTCAAAAAACCAATCAAAATCATCTCTATTTCTGTAATAGTCTTCCATTCATCAAAGAGACCAAAAATCGAAAATAAAACCCTATAAAAAACATACGAAAAAACACTGCAAAGTTGCTGTTTTAATCGAAAAATAAATTTTTTAAATTTTTTTTTCTCTCATTAAAACACAGTGTGCTGCAGGTCTGTTTTTTTGGGGTGCACACATACCAATAATGTATTCTCTATATCTGGGCCCCAAATGTACCACTCACATTTTTATCAGAGGGGGCTGAGCTCAGGCGTGATTACGGTTTGGACCCTGAACTAAAGGTAGATCTACGGGACGGACCCTAAGGGTTAATTTGATATAAAAAATATGACAAATTTTTTCATGTATACAGTTTTGCTATGAGAATGGAAAACAAAATTTGAAAGGGAAACTGCCTTGGGGTAGAACTTTTTACTTAGCGAAACTACTTTTTTTCTTTATACCCTTGTTTTGTCTTTTCAAAATTTGAATATTCATCCCGTACTTTTCCCCACTATCCCTACTAACTCTTTCCAGGTATTTTTCCGGGTCACAAATTTCAAAAAACCCTTAAAAAAATCCATGTAACCCACATCTGCATTTGGTGTTCTTCTAAACTTCAGTTTTTTGTCATGGGGTAAAAGTGTAACAGCAAGATGTTTTTGGGGAAAACATTACAGGGGAAACCCTATTTGCGAGTTTAATCCGTTCCATGACCTTGCTCGCAATAATTTGTTTGTTTGCAGAGTCAATTTTTCCCCTTTTAAATTAACGAAAGCAATTAATCCATTCCGGGGAATTCTTACTTCAAAAAATTTCCTAATACAACTTTAACTTATTTATCTACTCACTTGATCTAATATGACAAATAAAAATAAAAAAATAAACCCTTTATATACCTAAATGAATAAAAAATGTCTTATTGTGTGGGGGGGGCGGCCAACGAGAGTTTTCTGGGACAGGACAAAATATCCTTGAATATTTTTCTATCAACTCTAGGGTTATTTACTATCATAGTTCATCAAATATAAACATAAAAAACAATAAAAATAAATAGAAACGTGATATATACTCTAGAATGAATAAAATTGTCTTATATTGTGGCCGGCGGCCAACAAAGGTTTGTCTGGAGACAGGACAAAAAATCCTTAAAATATTTCGCTATCATAAAACTCTATGGCTTTTTTTATCTTTTAGGGTTTTCATCTAATATAAAAATGATAATCAATATAAATTAAGAAACCTGATATATACTCTAGAGTAAAAAATTGTCATTTTGTAACAGGTGGGGGCCCGCCACAACCACTCCCTCTTTGTTGGGGAAACATCCCAATCTAGGACCCCTTTTTTTAAAAGCCGTCTATTTTTAAATAATTATTATTATTAGTACTTATTTTAAAAAAATATGTATTATTATTTACTATTTTTTATATTTATTATTTAATTATTATTTTTATTGTTGCTTTGTTTATTGTATTATATTAAACTATTATTATTATGCATTTATTATTATTATTATTATTATTTTTTTATTTTTTTTTCAACACCCCGGCCTTTCCCTTTTTACTATTCAGTATTATTATTACAATATAAAAATTTGAAATTTTTATTACAAAAAAAAATATAAGATTTACTATTATGCCTTATTGCTAAAATTTTGTATAAATAATTTAACCCTTTCATGACTGATATTGGAAGGACAGTGAGCATTTTTTTTACTCTTAAACATAGGAGCAAACAAGCATTTCCCCCTCATCGAGCTCAATTTAAAAGATACTTTTCTTTGGAAAAGCAATCCAAATCATATTTTTTTATAATATTCTTCCATTTATCAAATGAGCCCAAAAAAACGAGAATACAACCAAAAACCTACAAAAAATACCGCTAAGGGGTGGCTAATTGCTTAAAGTAAAACCCATTTTTATGCTCCGATTTCTTTCTTTTTTGGTGTATGTTAAGAAACATTTTCCATCTATATTCCCCAAAGTTTCAAAAAGAAGTCCAAAAACAAATGAGATAAAATTTCCCCTAGACCAAGAAAAAGAGCCCCTCACAAGCGAAAGGGACCCCCCTCAGGCCCCTGCTCGCTTATGGGAAATTTTTTTCTGCGATGGAAGCAAAAAAATAAAACCCCTCGACTGTCATTTTTGGAAAAACCGCACGGGATGCGCCCCCCGAAAGAAAGGGGTTTCCACTGAACTGGATACGAAAATTTTAAAAACAAGGGAAATAATCCGAGGGGACACTCTTCAAATCACTGTACTCCCTCACTTAGAATATTGTCTGCGAGGGCCCCCTTAAAGCGGGAGAAATATCGAGAGGGAACAAAAAAGATTGTTTCCCGTAAATTTGAGCCTGTAAAGTACATAAACTACTGGGAACGCCGCAATCACGAACATGTATTCACTGGAGCGAAGGAGAGAGAGATACAGAAAAATTTATCCCTAAAAAATACTCGGGGCCTGGTCCCAAATCTGCACACGTCAAACAACTTTACCGGAGACAGAATGGGGGGAAGTGAAAATAAACCCAGTGAGGCGGGGGTGCGTGGGAACAATAACAAACACTGTAACAACATCGGGGGTCCCAGACGTTCAACATCTACCAAAGATCCCAGAAACAGGGCGGGGACAAGTGTAGAAGCCCTCAAGGGGAAAAACGGGACAAGTACTTCACCAGGTGCCAGATCAACCAGGCTGTGATGGATATGGGGCAGCAGGCCTCCACAGCAAAAGCCTGGCTACCAGCAAGCACCAGATGACCCCTAGCCCATGGCCGGGGCCAGAGATAGTTTAACTCCGAAACCTTAAAAGATATATCAAATTTTAAAGGGTAATCAGTATTTCAGGGAAGCCAGAACCTGGAAAATTTCAAACAACCATGGAACAAAGCTTAAGTTCTGGTTTCCCAAAGGTTTAAAATTATTACATATAATTTTGGTCTTCTTACATTAGGAAAAAATTTTTATTAGTTTTGGGGAAGGTGATGACCTGACTAACCGGTGAGCAAAGCTGCAACTTGAGGAATATGTTTTGTAGCACTTGAGATGTTCCAAAACATTCATGACCCCTTGTAGAAATGTGGCAATTTCTCCATACCTCGACGAACTTTCAGAGCTCTGTAAATCAAACTGACTTAAATTTGGGGCATAACCACAACTAACTGAATCTCATTAAAATCATTTTTAGTTGCTGTCACTTCTTATATTTAAAAGGGAATGTGGCTACTAAAGGCTCATCCAAAACTTTCACCCCATTACCCCATCAGGGTTGACACAAAGATATAAGTTATTTTTCCCCCATCAGCCCCTTGTGTTTTTCCTATTTTTGTATTTCCATTCTTCTAGAAAGGGGTAAACAAACACTGAAAAGAAACTTTTAAAAAAACCCCATCCATTCCCACTACAGCGGGGTGCCCCAAAAAAGGGGGGAACACATTCACCATTATTCATTCAACTGCTGTATGCCCAAAAAATGCCATCACATTTTGATGACCCCCTAATTGAGACATCCTCACCCCCCCTGTAAGTGTAGGCATTGTACTTTAAACTCCAAAGATGTAGGTTTGGTAACCAGTTTCCCTGAATCCCTTCAAAGTTAAATGCCTGAACTCCCCAAAAACATAACAAGCCTCCAACCATTATGCTCACACAAGACTTTTTGATGTTTAACCCCCAAACACTCAAAACTTCCTTATACCCTCCCTCCATCCCTTCCTATGACAACTCCCCACCCCTTCCTTTATTCCACCCCGAATAATATATACTCTTTGTTATCCTATCTGCTACATGCTTTCTAAATTTTCCAACCCCCCCGCACTCCCTCCTAAGCCCCCCCAATTATATTTTGGTAACCCCCCCTCCATCTTTTCTCAATGCCTAATTTTCCCCAAGGTATGTATACCAACATTTTTCTCAAACATGTATTTTCATGCCTCCAGTCCCTTGCTCCAAAGTTTGAAAACCCCTCCTCACAACCCCCAGAAAATATTTATACAATATAATCTTTTGGGACATTCACCTTTTTTTTCCTCCATGGATAAACCCATTCCATAGAAGCCCTTTAACCCCTTTCAGGTCCAAGGCCAAAAACTGAAGTCCCGCACCATGCCAAAAAATTTTTAAAAAAAAAAAATTATTTTTTTACAAATTAAGAGCAATTTTTGTGAAGGAAAAAAACAAAAAAAAATTGAATCTGATCAGTACTTACCGAGATACAGTGCCAAAATTGTAAAAATGATGTGGTGGTGGCAACATGACGAATTCCCATACCTATTATATTATTTTTTTTGTTTTAGTTGTTTTTTTTTTTCTTTTTCCCAATTTTTTTTTATTCCTACTAAATTTGGGGCCCGAGAGACCAAATGAAATAATTGATTAAATTAACCACTGTATTTAACACAAAAACCCCCAAAGTTATTACATATTATTGTTTACCCTGTTGTTTATTACAAAAAAATGCCAAAAATTGTAAATATAATGTTCTACAATATTTTCATATTTACAATCACGGACATGGTTTTTGAAATGCTGAGCTTGTGGAACTCCTTGAAAAAAGGGACCATCACAGAGGCACCTTACATTCCTCACACATAAACCGAGTGTCTTTGCGTCTTTTTTGCCATGTTTTGTTGTGCACGCAATGTTTTCCTCTGACAAATTTCTTTTAATGAAGGAAGCTGTATTATGAAAGATCACCTTTTCTTCTCAAAGCTTGGGGGATTGTGATGAATTCGAGGACCATGTTGTATTGCAGGTGTTGTTTCCTGGTATTCATTATGGTTGTCTGAACAGACAAACAAAATTCACCCCACGGGGGCTGTTACCCTTTTATTTTTGGACATATTATATATTCGCATTGAAAAATCCTGAGAGGAAGAAAAGTTTTATTACCACTTGTAACCTTCGAACAAGTCAACAAAACCATCTGCATGCACACTTTCAACCAAGCGCATGTTTTGTGTTAAACAAACACTGTCCCCTGGTTTTCGAATACGTTTTTTACACTCATCAACTTTGCCAGTCTTTCATTTTTATTACGGGGAAGGTTGTCAACATGGACATCTCGTTTGTCTCCACCGTAATCCTGATGCATTGGGAGTAAAACCCTGCACCATCACCCGAACACCCCGCGTTTAGCCGGGCTATGTTTACATTAGAAGCACTGTGCCCCACACTCTGTTTGTTCACTGCATAAATTTATGGTAATGGGCTTGTGACCAGTTATCGGTATAAAGTATGGCCCTTACCAAGATAAGTGCCACAGTTTCTCACTACGTCACCCGATAACCAATAACTCTTGGGATCTTTTTAAAGTTTTAACCCCCGGTATCAACATTATCCAACACCAGGCACTGTCACAATCACAGAGACAAACAATTTTTATACCAAAGCGGTTTTCCTTTTGCCGTATATACTGCTTTTAAGACAGTCTAAACCTTTTAACAAAATCAAAGACTCTCAATTACAAGATTCTTTAAAGGATAAAAGTATATCCCAACTTTTGTTTGAATACATAAAAAATTTTTTAAACTTTTTATAACCCTCACTTCTGTAGGCCTGGGTTTTGTCAGAAAGTGCAACATACGTAACAGTAAGTAAACCTGTTCATGGTAATTTTTTCACGAAGGGGGGGGTACAAATTAGCCCATCTGTGACCAGGATGTTTTTTTATATGCTTTTTAGACGTGAGGGTAATCATTATTTTGCAAAAAGCAAAAACATTTTGCAACAGTTCCCCTTTCCACCTTGTGTCTTGACTGTGGTATAAGATCGATTTGCCATGGTTACTGAAAAAAACTTATTACTTTCCCTGACAAAAATTTTCCCTCAAAAGGGGTTTAAAGAAAAAATTCAAAATTCCGTTCTTGGCCCTGGTTCCAAGGGGACGGTAGGTGAATTTTTCCCTTTGCGAGTCATCAAAATGGGAGGGCTGGGAAAAAAAATTGGGTTTTTTCTGCCAATTTCCCAATAGGTTTGCTTTGGTACTGGACATCATAGGCTGGTTTACGGTGGTTGTGGGGGCTAGTGGGTGACTCTCCCCTTTTGTCCTTGAACTGACGGTCACCCGCGTGGGTTCCCGCGTGGCACAGCGAGTCACGCATGGGGGTCCACACACCCCCAGCCCCACAACACCATCCATGATGTCTGTGGCCCACCATGCCAGTGTACCCCTCATCCTCACATCACTACCTAAAAGGGTGTAGGGCCAAAGGATTTTAATCCGGGTGACTCCGTCCCCTGGGCACAGCTAGGTACACTACCCGGCGCAGCGGGGGCGAACATACCCCGCTTCATGGGAATATGTTTTTCCCACTATCACACTCGAATGATCGCGGGCGCAATAAAATCACAATCCATAGAATCTCGCATTTTTGAAATCAAGGCCAGGCCACGGGAAAAATTAGTTTTCTTTACGTTTAGGGAAACCCCACCGTGATCCGGTGCCCACACCAGAGGTAGAAGGTCGAGGTCGCGGGGGTTTTTTCCATTATCGATTCCCGGGCATTATTTCGGGCACTAAATTATCAAAGCCAAATTGTCTTTTATTTCCACTATCATGTCAAACTATCAACAGGAAGAGAAATCCCCAATTTCCGGGGGGTGAGAGCGACTTTCGAGAGGCATGGTGAACAAGGGGACTGAGCCGGCGTTCCCACAATGCTATGCAGGCGCCTAGATTTTTTGTTTTTGGCGCACACCCCCGGCGCAACCCCCTTCTCCATATGAGGCCTTGGCCTTTGCGTAAATTTTCGGCGCTAGAAATTTTGGCGTGATCTACGGTTTTGGACACTCACCGACCACCGTAGATCTCGGGCGGACCTGAAAGGGTTAATACACCATCTACCTTTTTTCCCTATCTTTTAAAAGCTCACCCTTTTTTTCATAGGGACTTTTGTGATATGCCCTTCCCAAATTTTGAATACAATCCTTCCCTCCTGCTCCTCCATCAAACCTGATGTCAGTCTATACTGCCCAGACTTATTATTTTTTTCTTCATCTTGCTCTTTTCAGTGTTCACTTTTAATTTTTTTTTTTTTAAACACCCTTCAATTCATCCACCAAATAAAAAAACAATAATGAAAAAACAAACAGGGAGGTCCACAAACAAAACTGCACACAGCAAAGAGATAGCAGGGATATTTTTTTTTTATTAACAACTGGCCGATTCCCACCAAGGCAGGGTGGCCCAAAAAAAAAAACTTTTTTCCCATCATTCACTCCTCACTGTCTTGCCCGAAGGGTGCTTTACACACAGTTTTTAAAAGCAAAATTAAAAACCCCCCCTTCGGGCAGGCATGTCAGTGGACCCCCCCCTTAACGATCACCTCCAAATGCACCAATTATGTAATGTATTTTTGAAGTGCTTGTACGTGTTGTTTGGGGGCTGAAAGGGCAAAAATACTTCCAATATTCCCTTTTGGGAAAAAATTCGGTCAGTATGGCACCTGAACATACACTGGGAAGAAAAAAGTTCGTTTTTAAGGGGGTCCACTGACTTCCCATCTCCAGGACTCAAGTCCGGCCTGCCGGTTCCCTGAATCCCTTCATAAATGTTACTTTGCTCACACTCCAACAGCAAGTCAAGTATAAAAACCATTTGTCCTCCATTCACTCCTATCATATAGGGAAAATATTATAACCCTTTGAAAACTTACTGCAATTTCTGAACTCCCTCTACCAACATCTGGAGGTGGTTTAAGCGTGGTAATAGAAGTAGTAAGGTTCCTCTTGGCTGTGTCAAGCTGCTTGATATCTCGTGTGATCTCTTTCACACGCTGTTCAGATTCACCTGCTCTTCCTGTAAGACTTATCTAAATAACACCAAGCATATATCAATGAATAAGGTTTAACCCTTTCACTGATGGGATCCCTGAAAAAAAAAGGTGCTGACAATGTCAGCACTTAAAAAAAAAAAAAGTGCACTTTACCAGTGGTAATGAAATAAAGAAGAAAATATTTTTCCATCATTATTTACCGAGATATGAAAGCGTAAAGTTGAAGGTCTGTGACCCGCTGATGGCAACATCTGCAATTGCCATGTGATCTGTACCATATTTCATTTTATTCTAGCCTTTTTTTCTAGGTTCTCTAATTTCTACATTTTCCAGTAACTACTGTGACCCATAAGATGTAAATCCGCACAATGTACATAGGGCAACCAACTGTATACAACACAATACCCACACTATCAGTGTCATCAGATGTACATTGTTTACAAAACATTTAAAATTCAAATTTTTATTTCTTTGCACATTATACAATGAGTGATTTACATGTTATAAAATATTGTTAAGCACAAAGAAAGCCACTAATATGCCAGAACATTTTGGCCAGACTAATCCTAATGCTTTCAAATTACAGCCTCTCCTCACTTAATGACACAGTTCCGTTAATAAGACCATGTCAGTAAATGAATTCGTTGCTAAGCAAGGACCATACTATAATGGTGGTGAGTTTGTGTTGACCATCTTTGATATTGTTTTAATGTCATCTCACACCATTTATAACATTTCTGGTATATTTTTAAATGTTTATACAATAGTGTACTGTATATTGAAATAAACAGAATAGAGGAAATCAGGTCTAAAATACATTATTTAGTTATGAATAATGGTCAGAGAGCCCATCGTAAGTCTGAGGCGTCGGTAAACGAGTACGTCGCTAAGTGAGGAGAAGCTGTATACAGTAGGGCCCCACTTATACGGCAGGTTAGGTGTTGGGGGGGGTTCATGGAAATGTGATGGTTAGAGTTAAACACACTTGTTGGATGGTAACACTTATATTAGCAGTGTGTGTAGGAGGAAGCCCAGCCTGCCGTGTGTTGCCTGTTGTAGACCTAAGCGAGGAATGAGAACGATCACAGGAGCACAGCACTCACAACAGCATCACGTGACATCACACAAGCTAGTCACTGAGCCTAGCAAGGGGTCATGTATGTAAAACATATGGATGGTACTAACTATGATCTCCTGTATATACATATACAGGGGATCAGCAACTATGCTGACAGCTCGGTCATGTTACGTATGTCATCTCTACATACAATACTATGCTATAGGCTGAACAGGCAGGTGGGTCTGGGCTGATTCTATACAATGGCAAAGACATATGTAACTTAGAACTAATGGATGGTATCGTAATGGATTTTTAACATAATGCATTACGAATTATAAGAACAATCACGGTACAAAAAGGATGGGAATTGATCGATCGATCTGTATTCATGAACTCTATGGATTCTGAGGAAGAAAATTATATTTACAAAAGGGGAAAGTAATTAACGCAAAGGCAGATCTGGCGCGCACAGTCATTACTGCTAATCTCAGAATTCGGAGGGAACATGAACACACAAGAAAAATTTTCTGAAAAACTGATCAGCTAATAACAAGCACACAGTTGACAATATAAAAGACTATGCACATTTAAACCCAAAAATCTGCGAGGGTAAGATTTACATATGCAGAATAGTTATCATCTTTGGGTGGATTGAATTCTTCCGCAATGGCTAACACATGCCTTGACTGAGGGCAATCTGAATAAGTATCTACTAAAGATACAGCTACATTCACTAGTGACTGTGGAATACTTTAAATGGTATACTCTTCAGCTGGAGTTACCCAACTCGCTGTTCGATACAGTAATTCACCGTTGGCTTCCCAGTCAGAGCACGATCTTCCTGGAGCAGGAATCGAATCACACCAAACCTCAAGGGATCGGTTCTTTCTTACTGGAGGAATGAACAAACTGGGTGGAGGGGATGACTCTCCCGGTAGAAAAAGTAATGCTGTAACATCAATTGAACAAGGGAAAACGGATCTACATCTCTCACTGCAAGCACAGGGAAAAAAATGAACACGGTCAACAATACTGTATTCAATCTGAGTTGCACACAGTGACACAGGTATCAACTAAAAAGGGGAAAAACCCCCTTTACAAACATTAACAAAGCGAAGGTTACTCAGAAATAACTTTACAATGCACAATTACTGTCAACGAGGGAGGGGCATCACCATCGGGGAAACACAAGGAACCCAACAACCTCAAGGGGTCACTACCACAGAAACTCTTTCTGCAACGGCTTGCACATCAAAAAGAGTGACCTAACGCATTGCAAGTAACATTCTTCACAGACACCCCCTGAAAAAACAACTACATGGCCCCCCGCATAACGAATTAATCCTTATGAGAGCCATTGTTATGCGAAATTATCGTTATGCGAATGTTTTTTCCCATAAAAATAATGGAAATCAAATTAATCCGTGAAAGACACCCAAAAGTTAAAAAAAAAAAACATTTTACTACAAAAAATTTAATTTTAAACACACAAAAAAAAAGGCATGCACAATTACATGACACTTACTTTTATTGAAGATCTGGTGAGATTGATGGGATGGGAGGGGGAGAGGCTTATTTTTAAGAAGGGGAACCCCCTTCCATTAAGACTTGGGGGTGTCAACCCTTTTTCGGGGGGTTATTTCCCCTTTCTTTTAATGCCCCTAGGACCAGTTCAGGTCATGGATTTTCTGTCCACAACATATCTGCCCCATATGGCCTTACCTCTCTTCCTTTATGACTTCCCAAAAAGTGTTCACAACATTGTCATGTAATAGCACCAGCACGGCTTGCAATACTGTGTGAGGGGGATTTTCTCCATAAAGGTTTGCACTTTCAGCCCCCATTGCACAGATTTCCTAATCTTTTTTAGGCAACTTCTTTAAATTTTTCTTCCCCCCCCCCGAATCAGTTTCCCCCGGGCTGGCCTTTGCTGTTTTAAGTTTATCTGCAGCCATCATGGTTAGTTCTTCATTGTCCTCCCCCACCAACTCTTCCACATCCCCCAAACCTCCAACCCCCAAGGGCTTTCCAATGCCACAATGGATTCCCCAACTGGCATACCCCCCCAGGGTTGCCTGAAACCCTTAAAATCCCCTTTGGGCACACATTCTGGGCCCCAGTTTCTTTCCCAAACAGAGTCAATGTCCCCTTTGCACCCCCCAAGCCTTACCTATAAGGGTTTTAAAATTGAGGGTATTAAAATGATCCTCCAAAACCTCTTTAAATCATTGAGTTTTCTGAGGCACTACAAAGCACCTTCAAACAAGCTTTGGTACGTTTTTTGAAGTTTGCAATAACCCGCGGTCCATGGGGGTCAGGAAGGAGGGTATTAGGGGCAAAAATTTCCCCCTTTAAAGAACCTCAGTCCCCATAAAGTCATCTGCCCATCTTTGGATGACCAGGGGGATTTTTTAACACCAAGCCACTTAAGGCTAATTTCTTTTCATAGGTAATCTTTCACATTGGGGGCAAATGCAAGGTGTAAACCAGTCATAGAAAAAATCTCAGTGACCCATGCTTTCGTTTTCCCCCCCACAAACACACACAAATTAGCCTTAAAGGATATTCCCCTTTTTCCTGAACGCTCGGGAGTTTCGTGAGTGTACCTAAAAAGGTTTACTTTGCAAACACCACTAGCATTGGAACACATCAACAGAGAAGCCTGTCTTTTAAGCTTATTTTCCCGGGGTTTGCCTTTTCCTCCAGAATGTAGGTCCTGCTTGGCATTTTCTTCCAAAACGGCCTGTTTTCACACAAAAAACACTTTTCAGGGGTTTCAGTCCTTAATGCTATGTATCCTTTTCCTGCACATTTTTTCAGCTCTTTGTGGTCCGAACTGGCACCTCACCATGCCTTATCACACTATGTATGCCATACGCTTCTAAAACCCCTCCCCAAAACCAAACCCTTTTCTGGCCTTAAATTCACTCACTCATCACTAGTTCAGCATTTTTTTTAAAAAATCGATGCAACTTCCTAGCCTTTTACTTATGACACTTGAGAGATGTATCCCTCTATCTGTTTTTCATTTTTCCAAACAATAAGTCTCTCTCAACATTTCCAACATTGCATCTCTGTTTCGAAAACACAGTTTTAACCCTTTGGGAAAACATTTTCCCGATTTCCCCTTTTTTTGCCACAATAGTAGCGATGGTTGACTGGGGGTTTTTATACAACCCGGCCGCCGGAGACACCACCCCTTTCAGTTATCAATGATTCTTTCTTCACTCCATAGTAATTCTCACCCCTTTTTCCGTAGGGTTGAAATTGAAGCTTTCTTGGGGGCCCATGGCACTTATTTTTTCGATAAAACGCCAAAAAAACTGAATAATACGAAATGTTCCGATTGTATGCTTGGGTGTTACCCCAGGCTGGGTGGTAAACAAAGCCAGGCAACAGTGAGGCGGCAAAACCCCCATTAGTGCGCTCGGAACAGTGTTGAGCGGGTTTTTTAGCGGATGCGGGCAAAATCTTAGCGAAAAAGTTCGGTAGCGGGTTTCTTTGAAGGCCAAAGGTATGCGGGGCCACTGACTTGAACAAGTCACATCGCATGGATGTACTCCGCACCTAGGGGTTGTGAGGTTCCCCGAAAACCCAAGGGGAATGTACACTATCCTGCGTCACGATGTGTGGTGGATTCCAGACAGGAGTACAGTATACTAGTGCCTGACCGTCGGCTACATTAATAAGTAATGCACGAATCTATAGGAACTTAATCTGAACTTCACATTTCACAGCACTTAAACAAATCTCAAATACAAGCTGTGAGAACACACTTTAACAAATCTCAAATACAAGCTGTGAGAACAAACACACTGCTCAAGGGCTAGCAGTCAGTAAGGGAATATTGGTACGGTGGACTGATTCATATTGACTTTGACTGGCATGATACACTAAGTGAGCAAGCAAAAGTGACTGGGACATCTTCTCAGGGAGCTTACTCAAGGACATAAAGACAA